CCGCCGGGCCTCGTCCGAGGCCATCAGGAAGGCCTACCGCAAGCTGGCGCTCAAGTGGCACCCGGACAAAAACCCCGAGAACAAGGAGGAGGCGGAGAGGAGATTCAAGCAAGTGGCCCAGGCCTACGAGGTGCTGTCAGACGCCAAGAAGAGGGACGTCTACGACCGATGCGGCGAGGCCGGGGTGGAGGGCGGCGGCGGCGGCGGCGGCGGCAGACCCTTCGAGGACCCCTTCGGGGACGTCTTCACCTTCCGCGACCCAGCCGACGTCTTCAGGGAGTTCTTCGGCGGCCGGGACCCATTTTCATTTGATTTCTTTGGAGACTCGCTTGAGAACATTTTGGGGTGTCGGCGGAGCTCCCGGGGAAGCAGATGCAGAGGATCCGCACCCCTTTCCTCCACCTTCAGTGGATTTCCAACATTTGGAGGTAGTTTTTCTTCTTTTGATACAGGATTTACTTCCTTTGGTTCCGTGGGGAGCAGGGGCGTTTCTTCCTTCTCCATGTCTTGTGGTAGTGGTGGGACGGGCAACTTCAAATCCGTGTCGACTTCCACCGAAATCATTAATGGCAAAAAAATCACCACCAAGAGAGTCGTTGAGAATGGCCAAGAAAGGGTAGAAGTGGAAGAAGACGGAGAGCTAAAGTCCCTGATAATAAATGGCAAAGAGCAGTTGCTGCACATTGACATCAAGTGATTCCAGTCCACGTATAACTTAGAGCGCATTCTGAGGACTAGCAGGACATTCATTTTTTTGAAGATTGCAAGTGAACTCTACTTTCAAAACAACTGTACTCAAGAATTTATAAACAGGTCACGCCAGCGCCCTATTCGTTGTTACTGTTGGGACCACACAAACAGGACCTCTGTTTTTCTTTAAAACTGTTGTAAATATGTGTATGCACTTTGCTATTTATTAAACATAACCCCAAGGCAGACAGTGATTATTTCATAGTACTGGGACAAACTGTGCACCGCAGCACCTTGAACCTTGCTTTTCCATTTTGTTTGAAGTCTGAGCCAAGGAGTTTGCTCTGAAGTTAACGTTGCCAAGTTTACTTCAATTTTTCAGCACATAGTAGTAGGAGATACGAATATATTAGTACTCCTGACTTAACGGATGGTTTTCAGTTTCACATAAATGCTGGTGACATAGTAATAGTTGACAGTTTAAACGTAACGTTAAGCCTAGGCCTTTTAGAAGCCGGTAAACCTGGCAAAAGTGATGTATTAGTTCTCTGTGGCTGCTGTAGCAGATTACCACAAACTTGGTGGCTTGAAACAATGCATTATTTAGTCTCTTTAAGGTCTGAAAATCAGAAATCTGAAATCGCTTTCACTGGACTGAAGTCAGTGTTAGTGGGGAGCGTGCTCCCTCCAAAGGCTTAGGCAAAATAGTGAAGTGAATCCCTCAGTTATATGACTGGTTAATAGCATCCTTAGTACACTATTCAGATCACTTGACAGCAATTCGAAACAAAAGCAAACAAAAAAACCCAGTGGCGGTGTTGGCTCAAAAACTTAATGCAAATCTCATTGCTTGCCTACACCCAAATTGGTTCTACAGCTATGATTGCTAGTAATGTCAAAAGCATTTCCACAAGGCTACACAAAACTATCCCATTGCCACGTGCAGGATGTTATCTCATTTCAAATTAGGCTGACAAAAGTCAAAAATACTGGAAAGCTTGGAATAGTGGAAAGTTTGGAATATTGATTGAGTGAAACAGCGTAAATACGTCGCAAAGGGTAGCTTTCTGTTGGCACAGTTTATACCCTCAAAGAAGACCTTTTTGGGCCTGGTTACCTTGGGATAGTCCATCACAAAATAAGTGCCATCCCCCTTGGTCATCTCCAAGGAAAGACTTGTGTAAGGCATGAGGGACAAAAGACAACTGAACCAGACAGACTGGAAGTGCACCATGTGGTCTGAGTGCATTGTTAACAAACTAAGAATATGTGAGATTAAGTTTGGAAACCCTTTGGTCCCTTAAAGTCCAACCCCCATAGAATGACACGCAGACAGTACACAGCAGGAACACGGGATTCAGCCACTCTCCCATGGGGACAGAGTCTTAAAACCATATCAAATGAACAGTCACTGAGGTACCTGGGCAGTGCTGCTTATGTGCTCCGTGCAAGAAGTATCACAATAAAGCAGACTCCTGGGCCTTTTCATGTGCTTGCCAGGCAAGGGAACCCACACTGGTGAAGACATTCATAGTTGTTGAGGGAAGCAGGGAGAGAAGGGATGTTAGAAGTTTTGAGGTGATAGGAAGGAAGGTGCACAGTTTCATGGAGCTTATGCTAATTAAGAGTTGAAAATTACCACTCTGGATAGGGCAGAATAAATGCACTTGAATTTCTACTGTTGGTTAAAATAAGTCCCCATTGTTCAGTGGTCAGGTAAGTTTTCTGTTGAATCAGTAAGACTGACACACCAAGGTGGCCCAGAGGTCATGTGTCTTTAACAGCTCTGGGTAGTCATAATAGTTGAGGGCAAAGACAGCCTTCAGTTTTGATATATCCTGGATTAGTTCTGCTAAGTGGAAAGTTTCCCTTTTACAGAAATAAAAGGCATTTTATTTAAAGAATTTTCAAAATTGAAAATCTTTTTTTAAATGTCTTGACTCAAAAAATAGCACTGCTCTGGGTCTGTATTATCAGTCTTCCTTTTTTATGGAAAGGTTTGAATGGCCTTCAGAGTGGAAGAAAGGCATTTCCTCTGGTGCAAAAATGACCATCTTAAGTTCCCAGCATTGGATTCCCTCCATGGAATCACTAGCACCTTCCCACAGACATAGCCAGGCAGAGAGAGTGTGTTCCTGTGAGCACCAAGAGACCTGGAGACCTGTGGTCATCTCAGCAGAATCCAAACAGCCACTTTCCCTGTTGGAGCTTCACACTTAATTGTTTTTATTTTAGCTTTTTTCGCACAACTGAAAACATTTGGTACAGAAAATACTCTCTTCCAGTAACCATTAGGGATCAATCTTGTTTATCCTGCGATTCCACTCTCCTGTCTCCAAAAATGGAGAAATTCCTTCCTCATCTTGGGAAGTCATTCACCTAAATGCTTACTTCTGAAGAAATTTTTAATTCTTTCTCATCCTATTGTCTCAGTAAACACAGACTCCTTTTATGTCCTCTTCTCCCACTCTCTAAACCCTTTCTGTGTAATTTCAACTACCACCAGTCAGTATAATCAGCAGTCTCATTTGCCTACATGCTGGGAAATAGTCAATGACCACATTAATAGAAAAGTCTATTCACCATCTTTAGCCTATGCAGCTGAATTTTGGACTTATTAGTAACTTAATAAAGCTCTTTCCTCTTATTAATATGCAACTTGTAATATACCCAATCAGAAAGAAACTTTGTTTTTTATTTTTTTTCCCAACTTAGTGGATGAGAATACTTGTGTAAGATCAGGAAGGGTGCTTCATTCAAGGTATCTATATTTGACAAAATTCAGATGAATTCTTTACTTTGGAAATTTATGAAAACAAAATTATTTGTTGAAAATGAGTATATTCAGATCATGCATGGGGGAGCCAGGAACTTGAAGGAAGCAAAAAAATGAATTACTTAAAATGCACATTGAAAGCAATAAAGGTCATAATTGATAATGCAGAAAGAAAAATCGGTGACAGAAATATGCCTTTCCAGAAATCATCTCCCAGAATGCATCAGAAAAATAGAGAAGATAAAATTGGAGAGGAATATGATAGCAACAGAGCTTGAAAAGTAGAAATCTATGTATGACAGATGTTCCCAAAAGAGAAACCAGAACAAAAAGTTCAATAACTTAGAGGAAAACTTTCAGTAAGATCTGGGCTTAACTTTAGGCTGACTCTGTGTGGTAGGCAGAAAAATGGCCTTGCAAAGACATTCACATTCTAATCCCTGGAACCTCTGACTATGTTGCCTTACATGGCAAAGGGACCCTGTAGATATGATTAAGGGTCTTGAAATGGGAGATTACCTTGGATTATCAGGATAGGCTCAGTGTAACCACAGGGATCCTCACAAGTCAAAGAGGGAGGCAAGACAGAGACTTAAAGATGCTGTACTGCATTTACATGGAAATGGAAAAGTGCCAGAGACTTCCCAACTTAACAAAAAAAAAATTGTTTGGAAAAAGGAAACACTTATGTAAAAAGAATGAGCTTATACTAAGGGAAGGAATAAAATCAAGCAATTATATTATATGAATGGACAGAATTCTTACATCAAAAAAAATGAGTTTGGATGGAATTTTTGAAGTGTTATTTAAAAAAAATTTAAGGAAACATTTTAATAAAGTGTTCTTTTTAAGTTGAAAGAGATAGATGTCACATATATGGTCAAGTTATTTTTGGCAAGGATGCAGACTATTCAACAGGGACAGTCTTTTCAACAAATGGTACTGGGAAAACTGGATATCTGAATGCAAAAAAAAAATGAAGTTGGCCTCTTAAGAACACCATATACAAAAATTAACTCAAAATGGATCAAAGACCTAAATATAAGACTTAAACTATAAAGCTCCTAGAAGAAAACATAATATAGAGCTTCACAACATTGAATTTGGCAAATATTTCTTGAAAATTACACAAAAGTCATGGGTAATGAAAAAATAGACAAATTGGACTTCATGAAAAATATGTGCATCAAACAACATAATCAACAGACTAAAAAGGCAAACCATAGAATGGGAAGAAATATTTGCAAACCTTATAAGAGATTAATATCCAGAATATATAGAGAACTAAAACTCAACAACAAAAAGATCTGATTCAAAAATTGGCAAAGGACTTAGACATTTCTCCAAAGAAGATATACAAATGATCAATAAGCACGTGAAAAGATGCTCAATATCACTGATCATTAGGGGAATGCAAATCAAAACTACAGTGAAATGTCACCTCACACCAATTAGGATGGCTGTCATTGAAAACAGAGCAAAACAAGTGTTGGACAGGATGTGGAGAAATTGAAACCCCTGTGTACTGTTGGTGGAAATGTAAAATGGTGCAGTGCATTCCATTCTGTGGAAAACAGAATGGCAGTTCCTCAAAAAACTGAAAATAGAATTACCAGATGATCCAGCTATTCCACTTCTGGGTATATACCCCCAAAAAGTGAAAACAGGGCCTTGAAGAAATGTTTGTACATCCATGTTCAGAGCAGCATTATTCACAATTGCCAGAAAGTGAAAGCAACCTATGTCCGTTGACAGATGAATAGACAAGTAAACTGTTGTCTATACAATGGAATATTATTTGACCTTAAAAAAGAAGGAAATTTTGACATATAAAACAACATGAAGGAAGCTAAAGGACATGTTAAGTGAAATAAATCAGTATCAAAAAGAAAAATACTGTATGATTCCACTTACATGAGGCACCTAGAGTAGTCAAATGCATAGAGACAGAAAGTAAAGTGGTGGTTACCAGGGACTAGGGAGTGGGGGAAGTGAGGAGGTGTTGTTTAAGGGGTATAGAGTTTCAGTTTTTGAAGATGAGTTCTGGCGATAGGTTGCACAACAATGTGAGTGTAATTAAGGCTACTAAACTACA